CACTGTGTATTCTGATTTCTGTTCTTCTGTCCTCTTTATGTTGAACCTCCTCAATATACTACAATACACACACACCATCATACACCACAGCATTGCTGAATTCTGGATTCTGATTGGTCAGAAGGTGTTGATGAATTTTCTAGAACAGCAGCTCTGACAGTAGTGCAGCTCCAAATCACAGATTTATATTAATGCGCTCGTTCTAATACGTTATCGTTTCTATAGTAACAGCTCATTCACAGGGATGTGTACAGCAAAACGGATTAAACAAGATGTGTATCGTTGATCTGTAAGGTGATTGTTATTTAACCTTTATGGTAGGAGTCTCCAGTGTCAGTGCTTTGTAACAGTCAGAGGTAAAGCTGTAACTTTCAGGACAGAGGAGTTTATGCTTTGCCGTTTCTCTGTAACATGACAAGCTGCGTTTTTGTTTTTTTTTGTCTTATTAACTTCAAGAGAGAGAGAAAAAACATATCTTTGTAGATGTTCCACAACATTAAATGTAACTATAAACAGATAAAAAATACGATGTTTCATATTGAATTGAAAACTTGAACTAATGTCAATATAAATGTAAATTATGTTTCTACATTTATAGCATATAACAGAGTTCAAGCTAAAACCCTGTGTCTTTCTTTTATACGCTTCCCTCTTTTTCTCTTCCTGAATTTTTATCATATCAAATTTTACCATATGACCCTGCACATGCTGTGTCTTTATTCTGTATGTTTATTTCAGGATCGAGTGTTTAGCCAGAGATATCCTGGAGGACATGGGGCATGATAACCTGATGGTTCTGTGTGTTCTGAAAGGAGGCTACAAGTTCTGCGCTGACCTGGTGGAATCTGTTAAAGCCCAAAGCCAGAGCTCTGATCGCCCCATCACCACCCGCGTGGAGTTCATCCGCCTCAAGAGCTACCTGGTAGGACCAGAATCCCTCAAAAACAACAGCTGGACTGGGACTGGAGTCGTGCGTGGTCCATCAGCGTCACGAGTCTGTGATGACGCTGACGCCATGAACGATCATATCACAAAATATAACTTAATTTAGCATACTGACTTTAATTAAACTGCATCTTGCCAAAGAGATCTGTGGCATGACAGGAAGCAAAAGTTAGTTACTTAATTAATTAACAAACAACAACTAACTAAATAAATAAATAAATAAGAAACAATGAAAGAATCACAATTGCAAAAGCCACCTGTAAATAAGATCACAGCAAATAAGATGCTTTTTTAAAAATTATTATAAACCAGCACTCTGCAAAGGTTTTATTTTTTATTTCTGCATTATTAGTAAAATATTTTATAGTAATTTTTTTTAAATTGCCACTTTTTTTTTGCAATTTTATTAATTTTTTGACTACTGATTTTTATACACGTGAAACTACAACACTCACATTGCCTTATATGTGCTGAATATGAGATCATGAAAAAAAAAAATATATATATATATATATATATATATACAAACACCACATCTGCATTAAACCGGGGCATTTATCAGCTTTAAAAAGTTCTTCAGTTATCAAAAACTGGCAGAAATGTAAGCATGGACTGACAGGAAGAAATGACCATATAAGCAAAAGAGGAGATTAAGAGGGTCCGTGTGTGTAAAAGTGTTTATAGAGTCTGGATTTGTTTCAGTTATTTTCCTCCAGATGATGGCGCTGTTGTTATATTAACTCCCTGAGAATTGAGAACAACTGTCAAGGACATTGTCAGTAAAACACAAAATCATTAAAATGCACACACACACACACACACACACACACAGAGTTAGAAGAGTGACGTTTGTTGTGGAAAACATGCTGTGTACAGCTTTTCTGTTTGTTCCTCTCTATAACAGAGAGTTTTGCTCTTAGAAAGGAATTCAGAGTAGAAGCTCTTTAGGAAGCTAAGAATCCTGATTAGGACTTTTTTTTTTGTGAAATTCTTAACACAAGCATCATAACCACTTCTCATTTCACTCCAATATAACACACACTTTTATTAGAGAAAAAAAACGTGTGTAAATGTTGATATGGTGAAGTTTACTGTAAAGAGATGTTTATTTAACATTTATGGAAGGAGTCTCCAGTGTCAGAGCTTTGAAGAGAGAGAATAAAGAGAGGCTGGTGAGGGAAAGACTGTTTATAGCTGCTATAGCGTAAGTGATAACAGGAACTACCCTGTTTCACAGAAACATTTAATGTAACTATAAACGGATAATAAGTATGTGTCGTTCTTTAGTAAATAAAACATTGTAATGATTGGTACATTGCTGTGGTATAAGAGGAATAAACCACATTGTGTTTTTGTCTCTGTGTGTTTGTGTGTGTTTGTGATGACGGCAGAACGACCGCTCCACTGAAGACCTGCACATCATCGGCCCTGAGGATCTCTCCATGCTGAAAGGCAAAGTAAGAGCAGGACTCCCTCTCTGATTTTATTTCTCTACAGAACACAGCAGCTGTGATTTCCCTCTCAAAAATTCTAACCCAAAAAACACTACTATTTCTCAATAAACTCAAGGCTGAACATTGGGCCAAGACCAGCAAAAAACTGTAGATCAGATATCTGATCCTGTAATGAACAGCAAAGATTGGAACTGGATTTGGAAAAGAAATGTATTTTTAGAACTGGAAATGTGTGTGATTGTGCCCTGTGATGGGTTGGCACTCTGTCCAGGGTGTCCCCTGGGAAAGGCTCCAGGCTCCCCATAACCCTGTGTAGGATAAGCAGTACAGAAAGATGGATGGATGTAAGTGGTTTTGTGGGAAAGAGTTTAACTGTGTAGTGTTTCAGTTAAAAAAAAATTAAAAAGCTTAGTAGATTTTAAAGAAAGTAATATCAGCTGAGTATCAGTATCAGCTGATACTCCTCAAGATTTTCAGTATCGTATCAGAAAAGAAAAGTGATATCGTTCCATCTATAATAATAATAATAATAATAATAATAATAATAATAATATGCAACTTTATTTATAATACAGTATATAGAAAGTTTAATATATTTAAAATCCACCTCAAACATAAAAAAAACACAAAATGTAGTAAAAAATAAAATAATTAAATATGTGAATAATAATAATGATAATAATAATAGTAATAATAATAATAATAATGAAACAAATGACAGCAGTAACAGAAAGAGGAAAATATTAACAACATAAGGTATTTATAATATATAATAAATATTATATAATTACATAAAATAGAATTGAAAAATTATATATATATATATATATATATATATATATATATATGTAAAAGTGTCAATAACAGAGAGTCAGATAATGAAAATTGAAGTGAAATTATATATATATGTTTTTAGCTGTTTTTTGTTTTGTTTTGTTTGTTTTTTAAATCAGTGATAGACTGAGTCTGATGAATGTTTAATGGTAATTTTTGACAGGATTTTACAAGATATTGACTTTTAAATCAGAAAATCTGAAATCTTTTTTGTGCATTTCTGGAGAATTTTTAAATCCATCCATCAGCTGGTGAAACAGTGTTCAGATTAAGATTAAGATCTTATTCCTTACCTTAAATGAGTTCGAAATGTACGCAGCGTTCCAATCACTGTCCCGAGTGTAAGGTATATTCTAAAGCTATCCCTTAAAGCTACAACATCAGTGTCCAGCAGTGGTACTGTTTAGTGTCTCTTATTCTAATAGTGTCTAGAGCTGTAGAGAGAAATAGTGGAGAAATTGGAATAGTTCCATCTTATGGAGCCTGAGTTCTAACGAAAACAATAAAGTTCCATGATGAGAACACACTCAGTTCACTTCCAGGTCATGTATGGTTGAGATTAGGCACATACGGTTCTGTTTTATTAATGACAAATGGCTACCCTTCTGACTCTGGTTCCTCTCCCGGTTTCTTTCTCATGACTTCTCAGGGAGTTTTTCTCGCTACTGTGGCCTCTGGCTTGTTCATTAATGATCTAAATCTGCATCTGGATTCTGTAATGCTGCTTTGAGACAATGTCTATTGTTAAAATTGATAAACACATAAAGTTGAATTGAACATTGTGACATTTATGGTTCCTCTTCAGTCTGTTCACTCTGTAAGGCACAGCACGTCTGAAAACACATTTACTCACACCTGCAACTTAACACCTGATGACATGGATGTTCTTACACTCTATACAAACCAAGCAAAGAAATCAAAATATTCACTTTCACAGCAGAAATTAAGCTAGATGCTCCACTGTTCTGACCGACAGCACCTTCACTTCAGTGAGTCATCGACTTTTTGGTAGTTTTTGCTAACTTTACGTTTCTGAACTTGTTCCTGATTAGCATGCTAATAGTCCTCAGGAGTTTTATTTGTGTAGGAAGGTTGGTGGCATTGGTGGTGCACATTGCCATCCCACAGCTCCAGGGTCACCGGTTCCATCCTAAGCTCAGGTTACTGGCTGCATGGGTTTCCTCTGGGTTTTCTGGTTTCCTCCCACCTCCCAAAAACATCCCATTAGGTGGATTGGTGACTAGGACTAGTATCCCTCCCACCCAGTGTTCCTGGGATACACTCTGGATCCACCATGACCCTGACCAGGATAAAGCTCTTACTGGTGTATCACAGTTTTGTTTGTTGTTTTGGCTTAAATCCCACTAAAATCTCACAATATTCCCATTTTGTCGTGATCACACCAAGGTCAGTCATGTATCTTGCCCATCCATGAAACCTTGACCCTTAACCAGGATATCACAATGAAAAAGATCAGCACAGTGCATGCCTGGCTTGTCAGGGATTAGTCCAGACTAGGAGAACTCTGATGCGTGTATGTTTTGTTGCCAACACAAGCGTTGTTGTTCTTTCGGCTGCTCCTAGTAAGGGGTCGCCACAGCAGATCCTCCATCTCCATTATGGAAATCCAGTTTATGATCCGCATATTTGAAGTAGCACAGGATTTCACGCTGGATAACATTCCTGATGCAACCCTCCCATTTCATCCAGGCTTGGGACTGGTACTGAGAGCGCACTAGCTCATGCAACCCCAGTGGCTGGGTTTAACACCTGACGTGGGGCTCAAACTCACATCCCCCTGAGATTAAGAGTCTCATGCGCTACCGGCTGAGCTAGCCAGACACGTTTGTTACCAACACAATTGGTTTATGATACTTGTTCAAGAAGTTCTTGGGTAAGAAAGCGCAGAACAGAAGGACTGCTGAGCCCTTTGTGAGCCGTTGTTTGTTTACTCTCTGGGATTATAATGTGATTTCATTTAAAAATGTTTTATCTTAATATGCATTGTCACCTGACCCATCATCGCTGTGCGAAAGAACACAAAATAGCTAATAATTTCACTTAAAATACAAACTGATTTCACTCAAGTAAGAAACAACCTGCTCTTTTATAGCCACATTAGTAAAATGAAGAGAAGGTCACGTTTTGCATTGTGTCGAGATAGATACAATGACCTTCATAGGGCAGTAGTTTGAATAATTATCTATCTAACTTATACATAGGTAAATCAGACCTAGCGTGTTTGCTGTCTAGTTAGATCAAGATTAGTTAAATGGCTAACTTTTGTTAGCTAGCTATATGGCATAGAGAAGTTTTAGAATGAAAGATAGGTACTGTTGGTTCGGGTAAATAAATATAGAGTTAAATTTGAGTTCGCATTCACTGTATTAACTTGTTAGAAACAAAATGCTTTAACTTGTCTAACATTAGCTAGCTAGTTACCAGTGCTAGCAGGTTCAAGGTAAGGTAACTGAGTTGAATCTCAAGTAATGCCATCCATACTCATGTGAAGGAATAGCATTTTACAGTATATGGATATACTGTACATTGAAAACAACACTCCTGTATCCATGAAACTAAATTAATACCCGATGTTATATTTCCGTTGCTTGCGTACATGACTTCTACCTCATTACTGATATTATAGAAGTTTGTTTATTGGAATTATTCCAGTTGTGTGATACAAATTACTGTTGTAGTTTATGTCACGTTGTCCAACATAAGATTAAGAAAGAAATACTGATTTTAAATGTTGATTTAAGGTTAGATAAACAAGTCTCTAGCTCTTTTGCTGCTTTACCTCTGAGCTCTAAAACTTAGCTTAGATTGCATCAGTTTCAAAATGCGCTAGCTGGGGGAAAACCAGTTCTCTCAAACAGGGCATTTACACTCGTAAACACATGCCATTCACAAATTTCCTTCAGCTGGGCCTGATCTTGGTGGCTACCTTCACAAAAACACAAAAACCCAACATGGTTTTTTTTACACCGCCTCAGGACAGCACACAGAACGTCAGCACAAACTGAGCTCTGAGAAAACACTGCCATCTTTCCTGCCCTTGTTTCTGGCACAAGCCCACATCAAAGCGTGGCGTTACGGGCAAGGCCAGCGTGGATAACAAGTCCGTCGTCATCATCCAATCTCGTATGTAAACGTAGACGGTACAGACGGCTGGAGCGAAAACAAACAGACGAGAGCAGCCACAAACGAACAAACTCAAACAAACCTCAGAACGGCAGAACCTCATGGCGTTGTACCCCTCCCCACCCCCCAACTCCGGCTCTGATCTGTTGTTGTTTAAGCTCGATACTGGGTTTAATTTGTCCTCCCATCATCTGTGCGTAAATTCAGGGAAGTGAAAAGCTCAGCCCCGGAGACGACGCTTTCACAACAACCGCTTTTGCGAAACTGCGATCTTGAACTGTTTATGAACTTCCTTTGCTTTGTGATATTCGATGCCGATCTGACATTGTTATGTGGAAGTCATGTGTAGCACAGACACAGAAAGACGCAATTATGGTTTATTACTACACACACACAGACACACAGATACACGCACACACACTTTACATCTTTACTTGTAGGAATTATTTCAGAGATTACAGTACTGTGGTAGAAATTAAGGCCATCTGAGAGAAAGTTGATAAAAGCAAACGGACACAACTAAAGTCGAACTGCAATAAATTCCTCATAGCTTCATGAAGGATGTTGATGCATTTCCTTATCCAAGCGTCTCATGCAGCTTCAGTTATGCTTACGTCAGCAGTCTAACGGCACTAATTTAATACTGTCTCCAACTGGACTTGCTCTCAAGGTCAAAAACAAAAAAAAAAAAGTCCTTTAAATATGTCAGAAGGTGTTGATTAATTCTCTATAACAGCAGCTCTGACAGTAGTGCAGCTGCAAATCCCAGGTTTATATTAATGCACCCGTTCTAATACATCATCGTTTCTATAGCAACAGCTCATTCACAGAGACATGTACAGCGGACGCTCCACATAAAGGAGATGTTCATTTGACATTTATGGAAGGAGTCTCCAGTGTCAAGTTTAACTTCGAGACGTGTTCAGTATCTGACAATTAATTCTTTAGTTTTGCACTAGAGCTACAAGGCTAATGTAGCTAACAAGTAAATCTCTGCTTCAAAGCACATCTAGTTATTCGTGTAGCTGAACGCTGGAACATTACCAAGGCAACCTCATTTGAACCCTTTATCATGTTTCATTTTTTTAGGTTCATTAAAGAACCTTTTTGTGCATGTGTTGCAGTTTTAGTAAACATGTCCATGTGTTATTTGGCCCGAACAGCACCAAATGGTTTAACTGTAACCGGGACTGTATTTAGTCTTGTCGTGAATGTTCAAACAGATGGAGCTTATTTGCATGAGTCTTTCCATTCAGCTATGGGTGTTTTTTTTTTTTAATGTTAAATTTTGTGGCTTCTACACTGGAATGAAAAAGGGACAAGAGTGATGGTGAAGCGCTGAAACATCTGCATTCAGTACAGAAAGGAGAAACAGAAAACAAAACCGTTTAATCCTTATAATCTGTTTGGGTTCCTGAAGACCACAGACCAGCTTTAACAGTTTAACATAATCTAACAATCTTTTTATCGGACCGATATTTAATTTATATATACAGTACTGTGCAAAAGTCTTAGGCAACTGCAAAGAAATGAAAAGTATTTCTTACGTAATCTGCTGCTTTCTTTACTGACATACAAACATTTTTCTGTAACATTTCATTTTGTGCGGGAAAACTAATGTTTGGAATCTAAAAAGTTTCTGTACTGACTCGATAATGTAGACATCATAAAATAAAAATCTATAACAAAGTTTGTACTAAAGTTTTGCACAGTACTGTATATAACTACAGCTGCTTATAAAATAAGGTTTGACTTGATAGCATTTCTGTCAGCTTGGAGTGTATATTTCTAAGTTTCTATATGTATAATATTCTACATAACATATCGTTATCCACTAAATATTTCAGTGTTCAACATCTGAGTCGTAAATGTGTTCATCCCACACGCTTTCTGAGAAAAATTGAATGATAATGGACCTCTACAGCGTTTTACAGTTTATCTTACAATCAGTAGATTAAAAAACACAAAACATGAGGCTAAATCAACAGAAAAAAAACCCAAACAAAAACAAAAACAGGAAGTCTGGCAATGAGTCTCAGTTTCCACACTTGATATGAAGAATGCAAACACATACACAAATTTGGACCAGAGTGGATTTCAAAATGTCCCGTTTCTCACTACAGAAAGGGTTCCCGAAGGGTTCACTGGATAATTAAGAGTTAAAAAAAGAGGGTTCTACTTAAAAACCTGTTTAAGGAACAACCAAAGTACTCTTAAGTGTTCTAAAGTTACTAAAAATGTATAGTGTGTACTATCTAATGCAATCGAATAGTAGATCCTCTATTAAATAATACTAATATGTTAAATAATAATATATTTCTTATACAGTACACATCTGTTATTTATGTATGATGTTGAGTTTCTAACCTTTCTCACTCATCTTCTTCTCTCCACATGTAATACAGAATGTCCTGATTGTTGAGGTAAGTGACAATATCATCACTGCCTTTCATATGTGTGTGTGTGTGTGTGTGTGTAGTAGTAGTAGTAGTAGCTCATGTCCATAGATTTTGGTGTTGCAGGACTCCATTAATAACAACATAGCGTCAAACTAATGAAGTGGAGAGGCCATTACACTTGACCTTATGCTATAGTCTATGATCTAGTGTGTGTCTCAATCAGCTCCCTAGTTCAATAGTCAGGGCACTAATCAGGTAGTCGGCCATTTTAAGGGCTGTCTCAATCGCAAAATCCTTCCAGTGGACTGGAAAGTTGCGCCCTAAAAAATCCCACAATGCACCACAAAAACCAGGGAGTATCAATGCGCACTATGTTCCCTTACTGGAAATGACGTCATATTTTCTGAAGCCTCTCAGCTCGAAAAAAATAAAATGGCGGACAAACTCCTGTGATTAAGCTAACAAATTTATACAACATAAAATGTCAGAAAGGTATCGGTCCTGCCTGTTGTCGATAAATGTCAGTGGTGACGCTTTACAACGCGAGTACATAGTCATGTCGCCGGAAATGTGTAGTGAGCCAGGGTACTTACCAGTGCCTGAACTCGCATACATGATCTACTGGTCCGCCACCTAGGGAGCTGATTAAAACACACCCATAGTGAATATTTAGGCAGTTGAGATTCAATAACATGCACTCATCCAGCATACAGTCTAGCAGCTCGTTCTGAACGGATTTAGATGCATCTTTGTTCAACTGTGTTCGATGTAACGTCATTAACCAGGGTTGCCAGGTTTCAGTGAAATTTCCAACTGCATCTCAAAATTCCTGAAACTAGCTCAAAAAATGTGGGCATAAAAAAGTAAGACACATTTTTCTTCTTTTTCTCAACTGTTATTTGGGAAACAAGGTCACCATGGTGCGCACGCATTTCTGATATACAGACATTATCCACTCAATAATCCCCCTTTCCCTCTCCCAGTCTTTACATTATATCTTTCAATAGAAATGGTTCTGTATATCATAGACACACTGCCTGCACTTACACTTTGCCTTTATTTGTGGAAATTTAGTAGATTTAATTCAGACTGTTTGTTATAAAACAAGATCTGGGTGACCATGGCGTGATTCCTGCCCCAGTGGGCCTCTATTTATTAGCGCTTGCTGCAGTTCCCTTTTTTGACCACAATAATGCAATAATAACTCTATGGAAGCTAACTGGGGCAGTGAGCACGCTAAAAGGCCAGCATATCGAGGGAACATCGGCTTATATCAGTCAAACAGCAGCTCTTTTTAAA